TAGGGTAGAAGCGAGAATCTAGAGCAAGAAGCTGGAAGAATAGGCTATAGTGGCGCGAAAAAGACAAGGTGAGAAAGAGAGGAAAGGAATGAAGGGGGAAGAAGATGGAAGGTGGGGGTTTTATGCCAGTCACGTCGCGAAAACGCCAATGAACTTTTGAGGAAGGACCTTCGAGAATGGTCATTTTGTCATCGGAAGTGAGTGAGTATCCGACTTTATGCCCAGGTGTCACCCTAAGATTAGATAGGGCCGCACTAAAAGGAAAAATGCTAGGAATACTCCCAAGGTCAAGTGCGCTACACCGCGCTGGTCCCCAAGCAGTGTACACGTCACGGGTTTACAGCTACATGTGAATGAACTTTCAAGCCTGTGCTATCGATTGGGGGTGCTAGTCTCAGATGTGATGTAAGATATATTCATGTGTGCCTAAAGTACTTACCAAAGAAGTGGGATTAGGAGAAGTAGAGATATCCGCGGTCCTGGAGATTTTCATAGATCCATCCATTAATAATTATAATGTGAAAGAGTTTTACTATGTGGCTAGACTATGAAGCATAAAGAAGTGCATTACGTTGTTGAATATCTATATATGTAAGACCAAAAAGAACTGGTACCAATCCTCAGTGGAATTGGTGAATTGTCGTGGTTTTATTCCTCACAATATATGATAATATATTGCCAAAATTACTGGGCGGCATCCAATTGGTGGTGAGGGGCGACAGATCTCGCCCGGCCTGTAGTGAGGGTTAACACCCCCATTCTTCCCCCCCTTTCCCCCCCTTTCTCTACTCCCCTCTTCTCACCCCTTCTCCACACCGGCCATTTCCCCCATTCACCGCCGCTTGTTTCCTCTCATATTCTCGTGCGCGCCGCAACTGGCTAGCGGAGAGAGGCTCGCTAGCCAAGAACTTGCGTTGACGCTCGGAAACCCGAGGAGTCAGATCATCGTCGCGCACCTTCTTCGCGGCGGCTTTGGCAGCGGCGGCAGCGACGGTGGTGGTGGTAGAGACGGCGGCCTTGGCCCGCTTTTTCTTCTTTGTAAGACCAAAAAGAACCGGTACCAATCCTTAGTGGAATTGGTGAATTGTGGAATCAGTGAATTGGTGAATTGTCGTAGTTTTTATCCTCACCCCCCCTCCCCTTAGGTTGTGCTCCATACATAGCCACCCATACGTAGGAGTAAAAGCTAGTGTGCTTTCTTCTTCATGCACGTGATGTTTGTGCTTTTAATCGTCCTTGCTCTGTGCATAAGACTGTGAAAAACGCAGACACATGCTGTGAAGGATGAATAGAAGGATTTCTAGAGAATTATCATACGTGGTTGGAGGCGGGGGCAACGCCAAAATTGTTGTTGTTGGTGATGTTGACCGTGGCCCCGGCGGCAATGGTGTTGTGAATTGGTGCCTGTATTACTATTAGCATGTATGCAAAACATGGAGAGCTTCCAAAGGGTTCAAAATTCGTCATGAAGAAAAGAGACATGTTCCAGTGACTCGGATAGAAAGAGATTCCAATAACTTACCGACATGGTGTTGAAATTCCACGTTGCACCAGAGGATTTTACGAACGCAGAGGACCGAGAGGATTGTAAACAACCAGCAGGCTTGCCTTCCTTGGCTTCAATTCACTTCGCTCACTTGACCCCCCGGGGGGCGCTCCTTCCCATCTTGACTCGACTTTCCCATTGGGGTGGCTGCCGATTTTGAAGCCCTTCTGGCCAGGCTGACCACTGATGGACAGCAAGGCGGTCTTGAGAATCTTCGACACTAAGAAATGTCATGCGTGGCCGTAATGTCCTGAAAATTTCGAGTTGTTATATAGAGAGTGGGTAGGTGCCCAAGTGGAGACGTTCTGAGAAACAATCAATTCTGGTAGCCGTGGGTCTAGAAAGAATATTGAAGACAAAGTTGGCAACATGTATGAGTGTTGAAAGTAAAAAGTTGATTGTAGGAAGCTTGGAGAGCTGCACCCAAAGAGGAGCCAATATAGAAAGCACGCTAGTTAAACACGTGACTGTGCACGTTCACACATGGAATTCCAACGAATCAAGCGGAATTCCAACACTGAGAACCACCTCGTCAGCTACAAGAGGGGAAATATTGCCTTAGCCGAAGAAGCAGCTTCCGCTGACGATACTGGCAATGAGCGAATGAGCAAGGTTCCCCAAGATGACGTGGATAGTGGACAGCAGGACACAATGATTTCTTGCTTTCCCTCAAAACCACTCGCAAATACGAAGCCAAAACACCAACAAAGACAATTAGCATCGACTGCACGTTTATCCAGCTCAGCTACGAGGATAGCGCGACTGGTACCCCGAAGTTGGCTTGCGAATAGGAACCCGACGGTAGTAGTCAGTGTCGTAACCTAGATTAGGATGCGAAAAGGAGCGTGTGGGTAATGTAACTCAGGTCAACATGCTAAGAGGTAGGAGTCCGACCGGAATATTCAGTAGCGCAACTAGCAAACTTGGGAAAGCCCCATATACTACGGCTTACAAACATGACCTAGATACTCTGAAATTTGTAAGTAAACGCCCTCTTGTGCACCCTCCATTAGTCTTATCATGGGCTTCCCGAGTTCTCGCGTCCCTCCAACCACGTCGTCAACTCGTTCCAAATCCCACCCTTTCCAAGAGTTCCAGCGCCATGAGCCCCATCAACAGCACCGAACTGATCCGCTGATGTGATGCCTTATGAGTCGCTTCAACTTGATTCTCCAGGTACTTAATCAGCGCTGCCCAGGTGGTCCCACAAATGAACTCCAGAAGTCACATTCCTAGGTAGGCAAGACTCATCCAATCCCTATACGAAGTAGTCCGATTCATCGGCAGCGACGTCCTGAGGGCCTCGAGCTACAGGAGTGACCTACAAAGCCGTCGCACCACAACCTGAAATCCACAATTCCACCGATCCTGCGGTCATAACAGGGCTCTTGATGTCGATATTGAAAGCAAACAGGGAAGTTAAGTGTCACACCGCTGCGAAAGCGAGTTCAAGTCACACCAAAATTGGTCCCTTAGTTGAAATCAAATTGCGTTATCCTACCTCTCGCCTTGCTCCACAAGGTTCTCATGAGCGTCGTGTCAATCGAAACCCCGAGCCTGCGCACTAGCCAGCACTTTCACGAGCACTCCAACCCTCTTATACACGCCTTCTGCAAGTAGCTCAAACAACTCAAGCCGCTTGCCAACGCTCTCTGTGAGCATCTCTCTCAAAGGAAGCCTACTCAAGGAGACAGACATGGAGATGAATGTAGAGGAGGATAGAATTGCAGAGAGTTGAGACAGAGATGGATAGAGATGGAAATAAAGAGGATCGAAATAGAGCTGGTGGTGGATAAACATCATGCACTGATATCCTAGGTAGAGACTAATGGGTCCAATTCTTCCCCTTGTGGTATTGTTCGGGATAAACATGTGCGGTCCCCAACAATCGGATATTCTACGAGGTATTAATAATCATGTAAAATAAAATCTAACAGAGAGTCCAGCATCCAACGCTTGAGAATTTTGCCGAACAGGTCCATGAAGCACAATGGGAGGCTTCGCACCCTCCTCAAAAGCACTAGGGACCACTCCAATACTCATCATATCCGTGCTTTTTTGTTACGTTGACCGATGAGGAGCCCTTGGGATGACTCACTGTGAAGGAACTAGAGAGTTACCTGAAAGGGTGCCATATTTACTTGCCAAGTCTACGTAACTATTGGATACTATGTGTCCTCTTCAAACCCCCATTTTATTACCCTTGTGGAGAACTCTGCGGAAGGCTTGAAATAGGACTTCATATTTACTTTATCTATATCTCAAAAGAGGACTGGTAAGTAGCAAACAAACAAGGCGGCGGTGATATTAGAAGAGCATGGAGACTAGTCTAGCATCTGGACTAGGGTCAAGGGCAGCCCTTATGGTTTATATCTAGACCATGATTCTCAAATGAATTATTTGTTATTGGTTTGCTTTAATACTGGGTGTAAAATTATGTTGCACTACCTATCGCTAGCATTTACTACTAGGTAAATGTCAACTACTCATAAGATGCCTGTTACGACTGGGGGAATACCCTAAAATTTTAGCCATCGAAGTTGGCAATGTGGTTCGAATCCATGTTTCAACTGCAATGTTTCAATTGCAATACTGAATTGAGATTGTGCTCGAGGGAATTATTCCCAATTATATGCAAGGTTTTTGGATCGTGACCAAGTGTGGGTGTATGGACAATGGATGATCCGACGGATGTCAGGAATCTCGATGTCATATTAGGAACCTCGCATGAGGTGTAGAACTCATACTTGGAAGCCGATCAATTATTCAAAGCTATGGCGATGGTCAACAGTTTTAACTACTAGAGTACTCAAGTGTTTTGCAATGATATAAGTCCAATCTGTGCATGTGATTACGAGGTCACCTTGGCCACCGCCACCTTGGGGTTTGTAACGATCCAGATCAACGAAGTCCAAATCGACAAGTCCGAGAATGAAACTGTATATAAAATGAATCATATCCTACTCGTATTTGGTAGTTTCGATGACCATGCCCGAAAGGTACGAACTACAATTCATCTGACATATGTCTTGGCACTCTTGGCACCAACGACCAGCCTTCCAGAATATCTTTATCTCAACAAATGCCATTGAGAACACAGAGTAACTAATAGGCAGTGATAATATACTATCCAAAGGTGAATCTTTCTATAAAACAATGTGAATTAATTCTAAGATTACCGGAATGCAGAACTTCGAGGGGTTGCCGACTTCATTGGGGTGAAGGACCAAGTGCACATGCACTCGATGTCCAAACTTGGTTCCCCAGTCAAAGGAGGACTCGGCCACTGTTAGTGTGGCGCAGGTGGTCGGCAGTTTGTGTGGAATATGCTCCGTGCCGTGTGTGACGTGTCAGCTAGACTAATACATTCCAACAACTCCTAGCACAGCTCCAACCCAAATTGCCATCAGTTAATAAATTAATTAACATGAATTTACTTCTAAAATATGTTTTAAGTCCAGTGGCGCAGTGGTAGCGCGCCGTTCTTATAGTTCTTGATGTGTAATTAAGATTTATGGCCAATTTTGGTTATGCGGATGCCGTGGGTTCGACCCCCACCTGGACTATGCTACCATGCCGCTGTCCTACTGAGTAGGATCAAACTCTTTTTGCCAATCCTATGCGCATTGTAAGATTCAGCTACCGCCTTTGGATGTTGGCAGAGTTATCTTAGCCGGTGTGCATGGGTCGGCCCGTTCGGCTACTTTCACTGGCGGATGAAACAGGGAACACAAGAACAAGTCAACTAGAAATGAATCAAGATAACGTCTGACCGGACATACTTCATGACAGAATCAGAAGAACAGATACTTGCAAATCAATTTGTCGATTTTTTGTTATTATGGATTTGTTATGGGGATGGTGAATGGATTCATTAATGCTTCAAATCCAACGGTTGCTACTTCAACGCCACCACAATGCTTCCCAAACCACCGCTTGCTTGTAAATTCACGTACCAGATGCAACATCCCAATCTTCCAGTTCATGGATATGTTGATGGTCCGCAATAGAATTTTCTGGGTATCAGCCTCTCCTCCTCTGCAATGCTGTGATCAACCTTATTCTTCAACAACTCCATCTGGCGTTCCAACTCCCATCGTGGGGTTTCCGCGCCGCGCATTCCTATGAACTGCGCGAACATTCTCATTTTGATTTTCAGTCGCTCGTAGTCGTTGAGCTTACAGTTTTCAGGGGTATAGTCACCTTCCCTTGGTCGAGCAAGTATCGGTCTGTCCCAGTCCATAGTTTGAGGATACATGCGAGTCGTGTGATTGGGTGTTATTTGTGCATAGTAATGTGCCATAGTATCGAGCTGATCCTCAGTTAAAAGGAAGAGTTCAAGCATTGTAGAGGGAAATTCTGGGGGTGGTACGCCGGTTTCAACATGAACTATTGGTGCGATCTCGAGACGCATCTGCGAAATCTTCTCCGCCAGCTTCGTGTTTCTTGTTGCTGAGGACATTTTCTGCTTGTTTAATTCGTGAATATTTTAGGGATCTGGGTGTTTGGTTAGGGGCGCAAACGCACTACTTCTGGGCCTGGGGAAACGGATCTTTGGCAGCTTGCGATGCGGGAGGATGCAGGATAGTGCAGGGTTATAGTGCGACGAGAGTATATAAATAAAACGCAAACGAGCAAAGAGTAAGGGATAAGAAGGTTATTGTTCCATGACGGCGTCTCTTTGTTCTTTGTCATGATACTGAGACATTATGTGGAAAGTACGTGCGTATTGTGCATCGCAGACTGTTTGCTTTGTTTTCTACCTCTTCCATTGTGATCCTGAATAAGGCCTTCTTTAATGGCAGGCCGTCTAAGATACTCTATTGAAAGCTGCCATGCGCTGGAAGTAACGTGACCAAGGCGTTTGTGCATTCCATATAAGGTATCGTACCCGTGGGCGTTCTGGCATTCACCAACATCTCGCGACATGGAGAATTCCAAAATTGTTGCAGCATCGTTTGTGTCTTTTGTGTAGTTTGTGTGCTTGGGCGTCTAAGTTTTGAAGCAAATCAAGTCTTCAATGTAGTGCGCCTACAGTTTCCGACAAGACATGTCATGATCATCCTATGATCTTTTCGAGTGAGACATCATTCTCACTTCCTCCAACAGGTTCTGTATTAGCCCAGAATTTACTCAAATGTCGAGCGCCACTAACAAAGTCAGTGGATTGTCGAATATCAATAGCGCAGCGACTTACCTGTCACATAGAAGTGTTACAATACGGTGACCCGGTCCAAGTTGCTTTGCCAATTTAGTTGCAGCGACGCCTGGATAATGTTAACCAGGTTGTAAACAGCGTTCAGTTGGTGTATTACGTACAGTTTACAGCACTGCTACTGCCAACAAAAATGCCATCGTTTTCAACAAGCCAACGCGCCATGGAAATGGCTTGCTCATCTGTGACTCTGACAGCGTCATCAATTAATTCCCTCCCGACATCAAAATTATGAGTCACCCTGTTGATACCAATGCCTTCCACAATAGTATCAACCTGATGTCTTCTTCGTGTTCCCTCTCTTTCCTTGGGATCGAACATCACGCCAAATTTGACACGGTTGTAAAGTCCACTCCCTGGAGGATCAGCAAGAATGACCTTTAATGTAGGAAGCTTTTGCTTCAAGAACAAGGCAACACCAGAGATGGTTCCTCCAGTTCCGGCTCCGCTAACAAATGCATCCAGTTTCCCACCAGTTTGCTCGTAAATTTCCGGTCCCGTTCCAGCGAAGTGGGCGCGCCAGTTGGCTTCGGTCTCGAACTGATCTGCGAATAGTCCTCTTCCAGGTTTGCCCGGGTTGGCCGTGTGCTCCGCCGCTCTTTTTCGTGCGAGATTGACAAATTGATTCTGGTCTACGATAGGTGCTGGGCGTACTCTTTCCACTTCCGCACCGAGTTTGAGAAGAAGATCTGACTTTTCTTTGGCCATGTCATTGGGCATGCATCTGTTCAAAATGAGCCCTGGGGGCGTAGTTTGATCTGCAAAAGCTTACATGTGTGCTTTGTAGCCTCGCGCTCTACATATTGCAGCAAGTGAAATGCCTGTACTGCCCACAGTACCTTCATAGATTGTATCACCAGAGTGAGGAATTAGAAGCCCATCTTTCTCTGCCATCTCGATAATGCTAAGCGCTACTCGATCTTTAGGACTGTTTCCTGCACCATTAAGGAACTACCATCAAACTTAGCAAAGTTGTTTATTTGTCCTAGTGCGATAGTCGTCCTACCTCTGCTTTCGCTAATATTTCGCATCCTGTAGCATCCGAAAGAGATTTAATTTTGATCAAAGGGGTGTCACCAATGCAACCTTCTATGCCTTCTTTAATACTTCCATCTTTTTCCGAGAACGATCCAGTAAGCTCTTTGAGCTTTCTACGGAGCAATTGTGGATCTTTTATTTCGGAAAGCTGGGATATAATCTTCTCATATTCTTGGGCAGGCCTGGGCAGCGAGTTTTCTGCAGAAATACGGAATTTCCAGGAAGTTGCCAATCCTGCTCCGAGCATAAAAGCCCCAATAGCATAGTAATGAGATCGCTCTGGCATTTGTGACGTTGAAGTTGTGACAGAAGAGTGCGAGCATCGAAAGAAGCTTGGACAGTGGTGTGTCTTGGCACGAATAGAATTGACCCGCAAACTCCACCACCTCTTCTGCAGCTTCTGCAGCTTCTGCAGAGGAACATCCTCCACCGCCGACGATGCATCGCCGGCGCTGATCCCCAATGGATTCACCGTTAGTCACCCAGATTTTTCGACAGCTTTTTTCACATCGAGCATCGCAATGCCTCGCTCGCGGGAGTCGCCCTGCCATATCCTCGGCCCACCATGTGCGCACTCAGCGGCGAGGAATGGCCTCACGGATGGAAGGTGAAACGAAGAGGGAAAGCAGATGGACCCCTAGAAGAAACGTTTATCCCAATGAGAGGCAGGAGGAATTCGATCGGTACCCTCTGGTTACTGCGGACATGTTAAGAGTTCGCAGGGAGCGGCCGAGGCGAGTAAAGATGTTGATGCGCGACTTCATTGAAGGTCAGTTGCCGCCCTGAGAATTTACGAGACTTGTTCAACTCTGACGGTTGCTCAGACAGTCTGTACAATCCAAATTACGGCTACTTCTCCAAACAAGTCGTCATCTTCTCGCCCGGCGAACCCTTCGATTTCAATTCCATGGCCTCTGAGCACGAGTTCTTTCAGCATCTAAGGCGGCGTTACACCGACTTTGAAGACGCTCTAGATGATCAAGAGCCGAATGAACTTCGTCAGCTCTGGCATACGCCAACCGAACTGTTTTCGCCATACTACGGAGAGGCCATCGCTCGCTATCTCGTAGAAGACTACAAGTACAATTGTTATCCTTATCACGATCTCAACCTTTACGAGATGGGAGCCGGTAACGGAACAATGATGTTGAACATTCTGGACTATATACGGGATGTGCACCCGGAGGTGTACGAGCGGACCAAGTATCGGATAATCGAAATTTCTGATCAACTCGCAAACCTCCAGCAACAAGGGTTAGGTCATTCGGCCTATGCTCGCGGACACTCCGACAAGGTCGAAATCGTCAACCAATCAATTTTCGATTGGAATGTATATGTCTCGTCACCGTGCTACTTCTTAGCATTAGAAGTTTTTGACAACTTCGCCCACGATGCCATTAAGTATGACATGGAAACGGGGGATCCTTACCAATCTCGTGTCGTTATCGATCCTCGGGGTGAATTCTACGAGTACTATTCTCGCGATTTAGACCCGGTAGCTCAGCAATTCCTAAAGAAACGTCACGCAGCATGCAAAACATACGCCAATCCACTCCAGGGATCACGGCTGATGCAGAATCTAAGGTCCTTGGTTCCGTTTCGCGGCTCTTTGAGCACGCCGGAATACATTCCCACCCGGCTAATGCAATTCTTCTACATTCTGTACGAAAAATTCCCAAATCACAAGCTGATAACGAGCGATTTCCACAAACTGCCTGATGCAGTGGAAGGAATCAATGCACCAGTTGTGCAGACAAGATTCAAGCGAGAAATGATCCCCGTCTCCACCCCTCTTGTAAGTCTTAACAATCTCATACAACATTTCACTTCCATGATGAATACACAAATTAAGCATAGTTCACCCGACCTACAAGCTGGGGACAAAAATTTACCATCATCATCTTTTATCTGATATGGATACCCTTTCACTCATTGCTACTTTATTTCTTTGGAAATATGAGACGCTGACGTGTGGATCAGGTGCACCAGGGCTATTTCGACATCCTTTTCCCCACTGACTTTGAAGTCATCGAACCCATGTATTCAGCGATCACGGGCAGATTTGCGCGCACATACTCGCACGAGGTTTTTATGTCCGGAAGAGCGGATATTGAGGAGACGCAGACGAAGAATGGAGAGAATCCGCTGTTGAGTTGGTATAAGAATGCCAGTGTAATGATCACTGTGTAGATAGCGAGGTCGGTAGAGATTCCAACACCGCTATCATGTACAAATACAACATTGTAATAACGACCTCCTGGCTTCGTGACATTGCCTCTGATCTCGCATTCATGAACTGGAAAGATCTGGGTG